CGCTGACGCGTTTTCAGTTCGTCCTTAGTGCAATCACCTCGGCATGTACAATCAGTTCGGTTTTTAGTTTAATCACCTCGTCCGGCACGTGGCTCGGGCCACGTACGTGGACACGTGGCGGGGTGAGGTGGCGGGTCTGACAGGCCCGTAACAAAAATGAATTGTAAATGCTATCTAGTACAACATTCACATGAGCTAGACATTCTCCACATTTTTGCTTATCATGTAAATGTTTTGGAGCTAGGTGATTTTGCAGTGATTTAACCATTCACTAAAGTTGGAAATGTTCTGCTTCTCAATTTAACATATATTTGATGTAGTTAAAAAAAATTAGATTTTTAGTAAATTTCGATAAAAATTGATAAAATGTATGGTTGAAAAGCTAATAAATATTATGAGTCTCATAATATATTTTATAAAAATTAATTATTTATTTGACTTAAATTTTTGTCAATTTTTTAAACTGCACCAAAGTAGGGCTTAGTTCTTTGAAATTGCATATGAACTGGCGTGACAAATAATCTAAATCATATTTTTATCTACTAAAATAGAACTAAAATATCACATGATGTTATCAAAAATTGCACCTGTTGAATTTCGAGTTTGACGACTAAGAATGAACACGAACGTGATTTTTGGGTACACGAAATAAAGGCGTCGAGACGTGTTCTCGTCGCCCCTCCGATGCTTAAGTCAGTGAGAGAATATGAAAAAACTTGGATGTTGAAATTGAAAGTAAAAACGTACCTGAATAATGATCTTTGGTTTCATATTTATAGAGGTAGATAGTGCATTCCCAGTAGGACTTGATTTGCTACGTGTCCTCATCCTATGGATTTCTACTTGAGATGAATATTGCACTACAACTATAAATTTAGTCATAGTTTCACTATAACACTCATCGATATAAACTCCTTCTACATAGGAATTTTAACTTAAGATATTTGGATAGACTTGGAATTCTTAGAAAGTAATAAAACCAGTACATGTCTAAGGGAACCTTTGAGTTCAGCTAGGGAAAATGTCTGAGGCCACAACAATCTTTCGGGTCATGCATCCTCGAGGACATATCTCAAGGACGGTTGTCACCAAATTAAGCAAAACTAATGGCGGGCTCGATGGGGTCGTACATCCTCGATGACATATCTCGATGACCGTATGGGGACCCCAAGAAGTAAGCATGTGTTCCACAGAAAGGAATGATGCTCGGGTTTATTATCATCGAGCTTAAAGGTGACCATATCATCACATATATGATGATGAATAGTATATATCATTATAGCATAAGCTATAATTAACCAATTAAAATGTTCATTTTGAAAATTTAATTCGATTGATATGTAATTACTATTTAAATGTCTCAAGGAGGATGTTATTTAAATACTGTCACTAATACTTGAGGCAAAGGAGGCACTTTCTAGAGATATCGTGAAACCACCAACCACTTCAAATCAAAGTAAAGAGAAAAAGAAAAAAGCTAATTGTACAAAAAAAAGTTTGACAAAAAAGTTGACAAACCCTCACATGATTGCCGGCCCCACGTGAATAAAAAATTGAAAATAAAAAGTGGGCCCCCCCCACATTGTGAGGGTTTGTC